CTGGCCCAGGGCGAGCAGCGCGCGTGCCGCGGTCTCGACGCCCCATCAGCGCAAGTGGCCCTACGGGAATTACTTCGCGGCCGATCATCCCTGCATGGCGCGGGGGCAGCCAACGACTCACTGGCGCCTTTTCAACAAGGCCGGCCCGTCGCTTCCTGAGACGGTGGAGGGCTGCTCCCCCTACATCGGCGGCGTCTGCGGCAGGCGGGGCCACTACTTCTTGGAGCGGGAGGGCGAGCGCATGCTTGAGCCCGTCGGTGAGGCTGAGTCCGACCTCGCGCGCGACGGCACTCAGTGCTACTGCGATCCCGCCTCGGTGAACCGCAAGACAGTGCACGCTGCTTTTTTGAAGGGCCTGATGGCGCGCGGGCTTTTCGACTTCACGCTGGGGCCGAAGGCCCTGCACGCCAACGAATCATTCTTGATGCTCGGCGTTCAAACCAGCACTTCAGGCGGCCCCCCAGCGTGGGCCACCGCGGAGGGCCTGAGCGGCATCGAGCTTGATCTGGACGCCCGCGAGATGCCCGAGAGGGAGCTGGTGGGCGAGCTGCGCGAGAGCCTGTCCATCGCGGTGGGCATAGCCGACGTGAAGGGCGCCTTCCACCGCCTGCGGATGCCCATCTTCTTGCGGCGCTACTTCTGCTTCCCACCCGCTCGGAGTGGAACCCTGGGATGGGACTCGCCGGCAAGACGGTGGATGGGGCAACTTCTGAAGGGCAACGAGCAGGCGTGGCCCAGCCCCGCGGCTTTCCCGATGGGTTTCTGGTGGAGCTTGTTCTACTGCCAGGTGTCTGGAGAGGAACTCGCTGGAAGCGTCGAGCCGCTGGGAGTGGACACCTTGCTGCGGGGTCGCGGGCGACCATTGGTGCTGGGCTGCGAGCGACAGGCTTCCCTTCCGCGCTACATCTACGTCGACAACCCGGGCGTGCTGGGGACAGACGGGGCCATGGTCGAGAAGACGCTCGAGGGCGCGACCGACGCCTCCACCCAGAAGGGGCTGCTGGTTCACGAGCGGGCCGTCACCTCTGGGGTCGCGAAGGTGCTGGGCGTGGAGGTCGACGGGCAGCTGATGCAGACGCGGGCGTCGGGCAGGAGGAGGCTGCGGGCCCGGCAGGCGATTGCCGGGCTCCTCCAGCGCGGGCGCTGCACAGGCAGCGCGCTGGAGGTGCTGCTGGGGCAATTCATCTTCCTGGCAATGTCACGGCGGCCTGTGCTCGCTTGTTTTCACGCCTGCTATGCTTTTGCTCACAGCAAGTATCTTCACGTGAAATCTGTGGCCAAGTGTGATTGACGAGCTTCGTCCTTTCTCAAGCTTGATCGTTTTCTTGTGCAGTGATTGGTCTCGACCTTGGAATCAGCTCGTAGTCGCCTCCGACGCATCGGAATGCGGCTTTGGTGGGGCCGAGGCGCGGTGGCTCTTTGACCTGGCGCAGGAGACTGGGCGGCGTCGCGAGAGGGGCAGGTTTTTGGCGCCCGAGGTCGTGAACGCCCGAGCTTCTGCTTTGGGGGTGATGTCGTTGAAGGAACCTCCGAGGCCCTTTTGAGTCGTGCCGAGAACTTGTTAGGGGCTGGAGGATCTCCAGGTTCAAGGGCGGCGCTGCCCCCAGGCGTCCGGGACCTCGACTCTGAGTTTTCGGAGGCCTCTCGGGCCGGCTTGGACCCGCAGCTGTGGAGCCAGACTTTTTGGGGGCGCTGGCGCTGGAAACAGGGGGTTGTGCACCTCGAGGCCCGCGCACTTGTGATGGACCTTCGTAGGATTGCTCAGTTGTTGTTGGCACCTTCGTCAGTTGCTGTTGGTAGATAAAAGGGCGGTTTGTTTGGAGTTCGACAGATGTCGTGCAAGAGACTCGGCTGAATCAGGTGCGTCGTTTCTGTAGCTACTGCCTCGCGAAGAACCTGCGCGCGGTGGCGAGGTGGACGCCGTCAGAGCTCAACAGCGCCGACGCCATTTCAAGGTTGATAGAACGCAGACCTGCGACAAGAGGTCTGTTCTGGATGAGGCTACTGCCTCCCCCTCTTCCTCGTCGCCGCCTGGCTGTCCATCACCGTCGAATCTCGTAGCCGCATTGGCTCAAACCAGCGGGGCGTCTGCCCCTCCTGGCGTCGATCGAGATCCTGGTGAGCCCATCCGTGTTCCAGACAGCGGGGGCGACTCACGGCTTGGCGTGGGGCGGCCCCGGGGCGTCGATGAGGCGCTGGGCGCCGGCGGTGCCCTTCGCCGCGGCGCCATCGAGGGCCGCGGGCCTCGCGGAGCGGAAGAGGGGGCCGACCGCGGTCCAGCAGGTGGCGGAGCAGCCAAGGCCAGGGCTCGCGCGGTTGTTGTCAGGGGCGGGCACCTCTCAGGGCTGGCGGTCAGCCCGGAGGCCCGCCCAGCCGGCGCCAGAGACATCGCCGGTGCAGGAGTGGGAGCTCCTCGACACCCAATTCGCCGCCGCGTCAGGTTGGGACGCTGCGCAGCAGAGCATCTCCAGCAGCGCTGGCCCGACGTCCGAGCTGGCGG